GGCCTATTTTAATTATCCGCCGCCCTTAAGCTTTCAAACATACTGCCCACTTATATATGTTGATCACAACTCAGTCATAGGTTCAATGCGGGAGTTCTATTTTGTTCATCCCCTTCATGGAGGGTGAACATCACCCCCTCCCTCCAACACATGACACTTGGCATTACAATTGCAAAATTTAAAAGTCTTGCCGAGTGTCATGTGTTGGAGGGAGGGGGTGATGTTCACCCTCCATGAAGGGGTGAACAAAATAGAACTCTGTGCGGGGCCTCTATAAGACGATAGGTTCTTCAATGAGGCTATATGAGCTTCTCTAGAAATGAGGACGTGGCTTCTGTTTAGCCATGCATTTTTAGATATATTACGTAGTATGTTGTCTCCTAAATTAACAAGTTGATATACTCCCTCCGTCCCTAAAAGAAGTTCCTTATTGAGGGTCAACTTAAATCACTCTTAAACTCTTACTTTTTATATCAAAATTTTATAAAAGTTGAATTATTTTTTGCAGGCTTTGTAGCGGGTTTAATGTAGTTTCTGGATATGTAAATTTTATTTACTAAAAATAATCCGAGTTTTCACAGGAATCATTTAACTTTATCGTCGGTCAACCTTCGTAATCCGCAATTGGAACAACATTTAGGGACGGAGGGAGTATATCGTTTGAAATAGAAATAATAGAGTGGGTTAAGGAGAAAATGAGCAATTAATCAAATATTAGCGCCGCTTTATGGGATATGGAACATATATACCCCTCAATTATGTGATAGAGAAAATGTATACCCCTCGTCTATTTTTCAGTACAAAAATCTGACAAAAGTAAACATAAAGGCCAAATATACCCTTTCCTTTAGGCCATGGCCGTTACCCGCAAATTCTATCATACAACCGGTTGTACCGTGTGCACGGTATAACCGTTTTTTTTTGTAATATTTTGTTAAGCCCAGGGTGAACAATCATCATTGTCACTGCTTACCGCTGTTAGACGATCGTCCACCGCCCACGTGATATGTTCCCAGTAAATTCGATCGCACCGGATCATGGACTGGGAAAGGAGAATTACCGGCGCGGCCACGCCAGGAGGAACAAAAAACCTCTGTGTTTGCGGTAGATCTGTCCGATTAACCTTCTTTGCTGAACCTATTCATGTTTCAATTAGTACGTGTACGATTGGTGCTTCCAATTTTTAGTTGGGGTATTAAAAAAAGGGTTTAAATCATTGTACTGTGTATGGGGTTTCGATCATGGAATTTATTCATGGATTAAGTTTCAGCTGAGAAGTTTTAATGATTAATTTGGGTGATTGATTGTTAATTCAAGGGGAATTTGAGTTTGCACCACATTTTATTATTCAAATTAGACTTTGAACCTTTTTAAAAATCTTTGTTTGTGCACCTCAATCCCATATGCAAATACAAAAATGCCCTCAATCAAGAATATGTTGAAAGCCATCAAAATTGTTAATGGAAGCGCATTTTTGTCTTTTAATATGGGGTTGGGGCGCAAAAACAAATTTTTTTAAAAATGGGGTGCAAAGTTTAATTTTCACAATAAAATGGGGTGCAAATTAAACACAAATTACTCCTTAATTCAAAGAGGGAATGTACAAAGTGATGAATAGTATATTCTTACGTATGTTAAATTTAGTGAGTATAAAACTTGAAAGAAATGAGGAAACAAAAAAGTATATTTGAGCGCACTATACAAATGTGTATTTCTGTATTTTTCGATGATCATTTTATAAACTACATATGCTCGTCTGGTACTACGAGCAGAGGTCACGTATTCAATTGCATGTTTCTAGTACTCAATAAAAAAGATTTGATGTTCAATGAAAATGTATTGATGTTCAACTAAAAAAACGTATTATTTTCATATCAATACTTATTTTGTAAATTATACAAATGTGTATTTCTGTATTTTTCAATGCTCATTTTATAAACTACATATGCTCATCTGGTACTATGAGTAGAGGTCATGTATTCAATTGCATGTTTCTAGTACTCAATAAAAAAGATTTGATGTTCAATGAAAATGTATTGATGCTTAACTAAAAAAAACTTATTATTTTCATATCAATACTTATTTTGTAAATTATGTATGCTAAATTGATAATGATGTTATGCTCATCTTAAATTGTCATATCAATGCATATATCAGAGCGACCATATTATATTTGATTCACATACTATAGTATTTAGCATACTAGAGATTTTCAGTGAGCTTTTCAAATTTTTCGATACTCATTTCGTAAGTTCTGTCTACTCATTTAATATTAGTGTAATGGTCATTTAAAATAAGCATTATACTAGACAATTTAAAATGTCACATCCATGCGTATTGGTGTAACACTCGTTTTAAATTTTTGATGCTCATTTCATAAGTTATGCATTCTCGTTTAATATTTGAGCATACTAGACATTTTAAATGATTTTGTTTTGAATTTTTCGATGTTTTACTTCATTTTTTTTACTTTGTTAGTATGTACGCTCATTTGATATTGGTGTAATGCTCATTTGGTAGGTTATGTATGCTCATTTGGTATTGATGTTATTCTCATTTTTAAAATGTCATATCAATGCATATTTCAAAATTTCATACTACGTATTATATTAGATTCACATATTGAAATTCATAAGAGTTGATTATAGATATAATTTAATAATTTTATATAAAAGAAAAAATAAGAAAAAAAATCGAATTAGAAGATATAAAGCAGTGAGCAAAATGCTCATTATTAGGCTTCTAATGCTCAACGTAATATGTTTGATGCTCACTAAAAGTGCATTAATGCTCATTTGCCAGAAGACGTGAATTTCATTGAAATTACTAATATGCCACCGGCTATAGGGTATAAGGCTTCCGCCGTTACCCTCAAATCTCGTCAAGAGAATTTCTTTTACATAGGCCCCACTAGATCTCTTTTCTCCCAGCTAGCTTATATGCATTCCTCCGTGTATTTTAAGAGAGTCGCCAATTGGTTTGGCAGTTTTTCTTAACCAGAGTTTGGCCCAACAATATTTTAGTAAACAGTTTTAACACGACCCTAATTTCGTAAATACTTTTTTATTTAGCATTATTTTGGGAAAAAAATCTTGGCTTCTTGTACCAAATATTAGAACATATGTCATAACTAAATGTTCGGGTAGCCTTACGTATCGACCGGGGGCGCCTATTTTGTAGAAAATGCTTTCATTGATGGTCCAAAATTTCTTGACTGAAGTAAATTACTACTACTTCCGTCCATCTTAGATTGGGACAAGAGAATGTGATGCGATTTTTAAGAAAAGTTGAGTTGTGTCGTTGATATTTAATTGAAGTATGGATATTGGATAAAGTAAGAATGAATTCAATAAAGTAAAAATGAATTCTAACCATCCAAATATGATATGAGACAAATTTAATAGGATGGACGAAAAAAGTAAAATGGAACAAAGCTAGAGGAGATGATTGGTCCCCAACCAACCCTAACTATTATAAATGAGAACCGAACGAATTGTTCAAACAATTCATCAAATGTATTTCTTTCAATGAGTTGAGATGAATTTTTAGATGCTAAGAATTAGTGTGGCAATATCGAAACCACCTAGTATTAGCACGAAAAAAATACAAAGGCTGCTACTAGTATTTTCAAAACAAGATTACAATGTCCTAAATCTTATTATCTTCTTGAATATTATATTATTAGGTTGGATGACGCCCATCACAGCCACAGATGAAGCAGTACTACTTGAATTTTGTTATGAGAGGGAATGCGTTGACTATCCAGGATGTTGGTGCTGTGCCCTTGACTTTAATAGTCACAAATTATGCTCTCATGAAAAGAAGAGATGTGAACACTTCTGCGGCGGCCACAAAAACAAAAACAACAATTGATGACTTGACCTGTGTGTACAACAATCAAACAGGCTTGACCAGACTGATAGCCCTGAGAGTATATTTATAATAAATAAGTTGCCAAATACAATTAGGAAACTAACTAATAATTAATTGTACACTATTACAATCTTCAAACATACACTGAACTCTGGTTGGACCGAGAGATTTAGAAAAGGAGCTAGGGACACACTTCATAATAATTTTAAATGTCATAAAAACAGTAAAAATAAGTCATTACCTTAAATCATAATTTATTTTATTCTAAATAGCTCATCACTGCAACCTTGGCATGGTAAATAAATTCTGCAAGTTCTCATATTTTAAAAATGTTGCATAACAATTTCATAATTAGTTCTGATGGAAATATGATGATACAAATATTATTATGAAGAGGCTCAATTTTGAGTTCTCAGATATAATTGTATAACATATATAAGATATGGATATATTTTTATACGCCAAAGAACAACTTACATATTTGGATTTATTTCATTAATTAATCCATAGTTATAAATGTTGTGAAGTGGTGTATTATTGAAGTGGGTCTTATTTTCAATATTATAAATAAATTGTCTCTTACGTCCTGGTTAATATAATATGTGATAAGGAACATTATTGTTCAAGTATCATGTAAGATTTCAAGATATTATCTTGCTCGTTCAAGTTACTCAAGTTTGAACAAATATATTAAGTGGGGAGACAATTATTTATTTTATTGGACATAAACAATGTGTTTTTAACTTTTTATTTTAGTTATAAAAACTTGGTACGCGTACATTACTTTCAAAAGGTTTATGGCTGTTTGAAAATGCATTTAAAACTGCCGTTGCCAGATCATTGAATTGATATTTGAGAACGTTAACGTCATGCAACCAGCTTTAACTTCAGGTCTCCATGCATACGTTAGTATGCTTATATATGAATATTTGATTTCCAAAAGAGAAAACCTGCTGCATCATACTTCCTCTATTCTTAAATAAGTGCAACAGTCAATATTTCACACTTGCCGAGACACAAGTTTGACCATTAATATGTATAATTCTTTATTAGTAAAAAAATTTAAAAAAATAGATTTTGAAAATTTACAATGATACAAATTTAACAATATCTTTTTAAAGAAAATATATTAATACATTATTTAATTAAATGTAGTCAAAGTAGAACATGTGAATAGTGTAAAATTTAGGATGTTGCACTTATTTAAGAACGGACGTAATACTCCGTAGGTAGCTTTACACATAAGGGAGCACTAACTCTCTTGCTTTTGTTTATTCTCTCAAGGCACTCACAATCTATATACATACATTACGTGAGATAATCTCAGCATCTCTTTGTGAGAGTTATCCCATTTTCCCTATTTTCCTCGAGAAGCCATATTGATACCTTATATACATACTATATTCTTCTCTTATTTGTGCTCAACTCTATTATCTTCAAACCGGGCAATGGTCAAAGGTTTCAGTCAAGGTAGCTACGAGTCTGAAACGTGGTAGAATTATCCTGGGAGCGAGCTAGCCAGACCCGTCCGAATGGCTATCGGGATACGGGAGCTATCTTTCTTCAAGGCCAGTCCATTTTAACGGGCGATCCTGCGATTAGTTTTTCTTATCTTTTCTCATTATTCATTTTCTATTTTTTATTATTATTATTATTATTACTATTATTATTATTATTATTATTATTATTATTATTATTTTCTTTTCTTGCATTTGGCGGTTTGTCTGGTGATTTGTTTAAACTCGGGATTTTTTATCTGGTTAAACTCGCACTTTTAATATCATTTTTCTAACAACCTTGAAGAAAGATATTATCTCTCGAGTTTTGGAAAATCCCAAAATGGCGAATTGGAAAGTGTTGTTGTTTCCGAAAATGTTGTTGAGAATGATGTGAATGATATCCCTCAAAATAATGTTAATTCTGTGTTTGCGACTAATTGTGGAGACACATCTGAATATGTTGCTACGGGCTCGCACATGGTTGATTTAACCGGGATGCCGGAAAAATTATATGGGCATTTTTTCAAGCGTTGGCAACAACGCATGAAAAATTGCTTAATCACCAAGGGCTTGCTCTCGGTAATTATGACTATGTGTCCCCCCGTTGTTGAATCGGATCCCAAAAGTCTTGAACGCCAAGCTTTATGGCGTGAGAGGGATGAAATTGCAAAATGCATGATTTTGTTGGGTCTCTCTGACATGTTATTTGATGTCTATTGCACCCTCCACGACACGACTAAGGACTTTTGGGATGAGTTGGATAGGAAATATAATACTGAGAACTACGGTCTTGAAAAGTATATTGTTTCTAAATTCCTACGATTTGACATGAAAGAAGGTAAATCGGTGTTAGAATAGACACAAGAATTTGAGCTTACTTACATTCTCTTCGTGAAGCGGATATGAAATTGCCTGAAAAGTTTAAAGTGATGACGGTCATAGAAAAATTTCCCAAATCATGGGAAGATTTTGGTATGACTTTAAAACATAAAATGAAAAAGATCACTTGGAAGTCTTTGATGCATTCCATTACTGTCGAGGAGGAACATAAGAAAGCGGGTTATATTGCGCCTGTTGAATTTCAACCGAAGGCTCATGTTATAACTGGGGGAAAGCAAACACAACTCTAAAAAAAGCAACCATCATCTTTTAAACCAATAAAGGCCAAATTAAAAATTGTAAAGAAACCAAAGGCAAACCGACCATGCTGGAACTGTGGACAGATGGAGCATTGGGCCAAATTATGTCCATATAAAAAGGTTAAGGATCAATCTGTTGGACCTCAAGTAAACATGGTGACTGGAGGAAGTAGTTCTGATGGGTATATTTCTATTAACCCTCAAGTTTTCACTATATATAATTCCAATGAGTGGCTAATAGATACAGGAGGGAATGTGCATGTATGTGCTGATAAATCGCTCTTTGTTTCTTATCAGCCTGCAGTTGGAAGAATAGTGATGATGGGATACGAGTGCTGCTAGCGTGCAAGGAATAGGAAAAGTAGAAATAAAATTTCCTTCGGGAAAAATTCTATCTTTGCATGGAGTGCATCACTCCCGAAATTAGAAGGAACATCGTTAGTGGTTCCATTCTAGTTAGGGAGGGTTATGAGTTGTCTTTTAAATTAAATAAAGTTGTAATTTTATTTGGTGGAACTTTTATTGGCAAGGGTTACTTGTCTAATGGACTTTTTAAAATTGTGGTTGATTATTTGGAATTAAATTATATATCTGAGAATTGTGATTCTTCATGTTTATGGCATTGTCGTTTGGGTCACGTTAATTTAGATTTTGTAAAAAGAATGATGAATTTAAATTTAATTCCTAATCACTCTATTGATAAAACTAAGAAATGTATGGTATGAGCTACTACTAAACAAGTAAGAAAACCTTATCATTCAATTGATAGACATTTAGAATTGCTGGATTTAATTCATACCGACATTTGTGAGTTTAATGGAGTGATTACTCGTGACCGAAATAAATACTTTATCACTTTTATTGATGATTGTTGAGTTTAGTCTCACACGATATAGTAAATATAGATATAAACATGTATGAACACTTGGTTTTCAAAAATTACATTAAATATAAAGGAAATATAAACATTTCCTTTATATTTAATGTAATTTTGAACACTTGGTTTGTTGGGATAGAAAATTACATGTACATACTTTTTCGTGCAGATGAAAATTGTTAAGAAATAACATAAGCGGACCAGATGAGGAAGAGGGAAGAGGTTTCAGCAAACCCACCGAGAAGTTAATAAAATCAAAACTGAAGAAATAGGAGACGGAAATCCTGTTAAAGATTTTGAAGGCATGATATGTTGGGGTGTTTGGAACTGATTCTGCTTCTGCTTCTTTTTTAAAGTAGAATCATAATCAGAATCAGCTTTTAGAACCTGGTCTCCCCTAACTTCTAAAAAAATTGATTCTAGGAGTAAATTACGGCAACAGAATTACTTCTACACTTTTATCCAAACACTCCAACTTCTTCTTCTGCTCTATGATGGAGCAGAAGCAATTTTAAGAATCAGATTCGAAGAGACAGCCCAAAATGGGTTAATAAGGCTATTCAGGAAATGAAAAATAAGATCTTTGATCTGATGGAGGACTCTTTTGAAGGGGACACATATGGAATGTTTAGTTGCTCCACATTAACCGTTGCATCCTAGAACAGGTATATGCGAAATCCCCTTTCCTCCAAAAATCCAAGGTTGTGTTTTGATCCTTGGAAATGCTAACCAATGGAGAATATATGTTAAGGAAAGTTATTTTCTTGTTTTAGGCTTTACATAGGAATTATTCTAAAAACCTTTTCAGTATATACAGATTCCAGTCTCAATGAATGCCAAAAGTAAACTTATCTGAGTCCAAACAAATGTTAATTTTTCCCCCATCTTCTTTTGGTCAAATCTCTCCCTCACTTCTCTTCATATATCTTCCCATAGCATTTTATGAGGTTCCAATCAGGCACAAAAGATGACAGGCAACGCTTTTGCTTGAGTGACCTTTTTGTCTATATAGGAGACAAAGCAGGCAGTTGCAGTTCGACGATGTGCTACATCATCTATTTAAATTCTGCAAAGGAAAAGGCATCAGTAATTTTTGTGACCATGTTATATCTCGTGGAATCACCTTGATTACCAAGACAGAAGCCCCCGACAGATGAGAATTTAGAACACCAGTTTCTTCCACTGGTAATTATTATCTTAATCAGGTGTAAAGCAAAAAAAACATCACATTTGTAAGGACCAGAAACAATGTTAAGTCTTATGTATAGTTCATTTCCATAACCATTCTTGAGTGTCTCTGCTTTGTTCATTCACGGTGATGTTTTGGAGAGCGAGGCCAGCAGCTTTATGACTAAATCAATGCTGAAAGGAGAAAGAGGGTCGAGATATCGTAAGTACATACTTAGGTGGAAAGTACTAATAGGATGACATGTGTTCTGTTTAGGACTCCCACAGGGTTTTGCTCGATCATGCCCTAGTAGTGACCACCAATGCATGTGTAGACTTTAGAGTGCTAGTATGGATAGAACAAGTTTTTGTTTAGAATGCTAAACTTTTTCTAAGGCTTTGTTATCGAAGTCGTTCTGCTCCAAACAAATTGCCTTTTACAAGCATTTCCATCATATTCTGGTCATTCCAGACTGTGATAATGCATTCTGGTCATCAATGCCCCCTAAATAATCATTCCGGCCATTATGGGTTAATCTTGAACGGAAGTGTATTATAGATAGAGATGTAATCCACACTTGTCCTTTGAGTTTGTACATGCACAAGTATACTTCCCATTGAAAATGTAATTGATGAATGAATCAAACTCCGCAAACATATCCACATTCTGAACAAACTACAGATTAATAGGACATTGTAAACAGTATTTTACTCGTCTCAATAATTGCAACAGTTTGTCTTGTTCTTATGCACATATTTTATTTTCACCATATTTTGTTTACTAATGCATCGAAAGAAAAAAAAACCTAAATATTATCAGGAGTAAAACTCATGCACAAAAGTGTGACGAAAGTTACTTCAAGTGTATTTTTATAGTCATTGTGATATAAAATTGAGCATAATTATATCATTAAAAGTTATCAAGTTATTTCTTTCACAAATAGCCACTGATTCACCCACAGTGTCTTACGTTGCTGGGACTACGGTTAGAATCAGGTGCTTGGCAATTTTTTGAGAGTAGCTAACAGTTAGTGTGCGTATGCCTTCAATAAAATGAAAGTGTCTTACTCCACATTGATAAATGGGAAAATTATCTCTATAGGACTTAATCATACTAATTTTCCAAATTTAGGACTATGACTTTACGTAAGACTGAACTACACCTATTTTGACCATAATACCCTTACAAACCACAAGAGTACAAGACCATTTGAATCAGATTTCCCTTCCGTCCAGCGCAAAGCCTCACCGTCTCAAAAGAAAAACTTGCAGAACGATTAAACGAGAAAAGGCGATTGAGAGTAAGCTGCTACGAAGAACGACAAGGAAATTTGACGAACAACGGCATGGTAATTTCGATGAACTTTTAGGCAGTAATTTGGAACCGCATAGACATAAGCCATGGAAAAATCTGCAGAAAACGCAACCGGAAAAACCATCTGGGAAGTAGGCAACTACATAAAACGAGAAAAAGACTCTGACGGAGAAACCATCGAAGCCAGTGAGCCCGCCATTGTGAGATTGGGTTGTATCTATCCAATCCTTCGTAAACTAGTTGTATTCAATGTTTTTGGCCTAATACCCAATTAATCATCCGCCAAGTTAGATACTAAAAGATTGTGTCAATGAATGTTCGGATGATGACAAGGAAAAACTCTAACTTTCCTTCTATTTGCTTGATATGTGTCATTTGCGAGTATGTGCTACTAGTATCTATGCATATTCAATTTTCACTGGTGTATTTGATGCTATTAAAGTTAATTATGTCATGTCCTTGATTTATTGCCTTTTACAATCCAACTTCTGTTAATTTCATCCAAAAAGAAAATTAAACTTTGGTTAATTCAATTTCATCTATTTGTAGATTCAATCGGTACAGTTCTTCAACAATACCTTTAGTAGCCTTGTCCTGTAGTTGCTCACATGCTTCAGAAGAAGCCTGATCAGCAATCAATTTGACCTTGGGTGAAGTAGTGAAGCATAAATAAATAGTAGGAAATAGGAAAAATTTTTATAAATAGACTAAAAAAGAGTGGAAGAACTATATACATAGTAGTCTAGAGAAGTGAGGGAGTATTTTTACTCCTTGTTTATGTTTATTGACTATATACTTGGCTTTTGTTTGAGCAGGTGGAGGGTAAATTCAAAGATAAATTACTATGTATGGTGTGAGCAACTAGATGAAGCTTTTGCTGAAATTGAAAAGCTCGAAATACATATTACAATCAAAGCAGAATCGTGAGAGAGTTTCAAGAGAGCTTATAATGAGCAACTAATCAAGTCTGAGGCTATAAGTTCTGAACGGGCTAAGATCACATTGTTGTTCAGTATGCAAGTAGAAATAGTACTAGAAGTTACACAGACAGTAGGGGGGAGTCAAACTCTGAAAAAGGTCAAGGTTTTTGATCAGATTGTAGCTTCAAATTTGGAGTTGCAGGGGCCAGGGGTTGTTTTTCTTCATCCTCTACTTCAGAGCTGTAATAAGATTCCCGTTGATCAATTTCTTCTTCTTCACCAAATCAAAGATAGAGTAATCATGTGTAACATAATGACTCTGGTGCTACCAATGCATGCATCATGAAGGAAGTTGATGGACTTAGATGGTCTATAATATGTATCAAGTATTTGGTGGCTTAAGATGTCAAACTGTTTTCTTTTGAACATTTGGTTTATATATATTTTTTGCAAATGAAATGATCGTTTATTTTTTCTTTTTTATTTCATGTTCATTTCATTGTAACTGTGATAAAATTATGAATTGAAATTTGAAATAAAGTCCATAAATAGGCAATAATGAGTCTTTAATAAAAAAAACATAGACATTAAATTTCTACACAAATTAATTACAACTTTAGGTAAAATCTTATAAAGTAACAATGGACTTTAAAAACTCAACCAATGAAATAAGTTTTAGATACAAGACACACAAAATAAATATGAACATATGGTTTTTAAAGGTGGACACTTAAAACATTTTGTACAAACTACCGTTTCAAACATAAATTAAATAGAAATATGATTTTAAGATAATGGAAGAAATGAGAATCATATTGAGTTGACAAAAAGTAGTATCTTAACTGCATTTTTGAGTAGGCAATAAATATGTATTAAAGAGTTGGTCAGTAATCAGACAGTAAAAAGACATTAAACCTAAAGATGTCTACTAGCTTTGGAACAACTATTACTTTGTATTTATTAAGCTTGAGCACGGAAAAGAAAATAACTTGATCTGCCATGGAAATAAACCATTCAAGTAACATAAGCTCCATTTCACTAACCATGGCATTGATATATGTCATTAGAGAATATCTAATGCAAGTACAAAAACAACGAGACAATTTCTCAACACCTATCTAATACAAATAATCTCTGATACAAGGATCTTCTACATCTAATGACGCCAAGTACTCTTCAAAATAAGTTGGAGTAACGGACGTAGCAGCCTGCCTGATTAAACTTCCACGCAAGAAGACCTATAGTAGAGCCCTTGAATTTTTTCCTGATATTTCCTA